GACAGCACCATAGTGTGCTATGTGCCAAGTACCTGTGGGCTGGACCACATGAGACTTCTTAGATCAGCCACACTCATGCTACTCCATAAAGGAAGTAGATTATAATGATTTAGTGGCAGGAAAATGGGTGTAGTGTTTTGGACAGGGGCCATGGTGTGGATGGGGAAGTGGATTTTGGTAGGGAGAGGTCAGGGCTGTCTGTAAAAACCAGGGTTGTTGTCACTAAGCCTACCAATAACTTCTCTTTCCTCTCCGACCCTTACCTTTCCCATATGCACCATGGGCTTGAAACTACTTGTGGTGGTGCTGGGGTTGAATGAGATAAAGGAATGAGAGCTAAACAGGACTGATAGTTATTATTCATCTTCTTGTTCATGTTTTTTTCATAGATTCCTCCTAATGGGCTTGTTCAGAGGGAGAGAGGACCATCTTTGCCTTTGCCCTGAAGCCCCCTCCTTGCAGAACGAGTCAGCTCACCCAGAGGGAGGGGTGGGGAGGGAAGACCGGGCATCTCAGGGCTGTACCTGCCCTTCAGGCTACTATATAGATGTGTAAAATTCCTGTGATGTGTTTTTTAAAATAAATTAAAACATGGATTAACATAAGGCTCCTTTACAGAAGAGTTTCGCGACCTCAGGGTGGCTCTTCCCAGTGGTTTCTCCCTCGCTGGGCTGTGTCCCCACAGCTCAAGTGAGTGTCCTGGGAACTGTGTCCAAGCCTCTCCTCTGCTCCACACAGCTTCCTGATGGACTCGTGCCTCGTTCATTCATTCTGAAGCACTGGCACTAGGGTGTTTCAGGATTGGCAGGGGACCATTGCTCACCCCGCACCTGTACCTGGAGTCTGTCCACTCTAACACATGCTCCTCCCAGTGGATCTCCATTTATCTCCTTCTGCAAGTCTGTGGCCTGACCTCCCTCAGCCCTTGTTTGTTTGGTTTTTTGTTGGTTTGGTTTGGTTTGTTTGAGACAGTCTTGTCATGTAGTCCAGCCTGGTCTTGAACTCGATATGTAGAGCAGTCAGGCCTCAAACTCATAGTAATCCTCCTGGCTCAGCCTCCCGAGTGCTGGGATTACAGGAGTGCACCACCACACAGGCCTAGTTTCTGTCTCCTCCATTTCCAAGTGGCAGTCTGCACTCATAAAGCAGTTTGCCATTGTCTGTTTACTACCCTTTAATAAGAGCTACATTTGTTTGGGTTTTGTGTTAGCTTTTGAAAGTTGCTGTGACAGAATACCTGACACCCAGGCATGGTGGCACACACCTATATCCTCAGCTACCTAGAAAGCTGCGACAACTTATCAAGACCCCATCTCAGAATTTAAAAAAGGGCTGGGCTGTAGCTCAGTGGCTTTCCATAACCACCAAAACTCAATCAAGACCCTCAGAGAAACAGTTGAAAAGGAGGAATTTATTTTGGTCATGGTTTTTGTCTTGTCTTATGAGGGTGAATTTTATCTATCAAAGGATCATAAGCTTATGTAATTAAAAAATTAGAGATATAAGTTTAAAGGGAGAAACAAAGTCACTTTTTAAAAAATTCTTTTATTGGTACATTTTAGGTATACAATACATTTACATTTCTCCAAAGTCACTTTATTGGAAAGAGGAGGGAAATGAGGAGCTAGACAAGCTACCTTGTCTGAATAAGATAGGAGTCCAGAGCCAGTGATTAAGAGTCTTTGTTTTTAACCCCTGTTATTATATGACAAAAAAGACCCCCCCTTAAGAGTTGTCCTAATTTGATTGGCTGGTTCAGGCTCTGAGGCCCTGATTTGGCCATTGACCCCTCTCCATTGCCTACGTGCACATTCTTGGGTGAGCTCATTTGGCCTTCTTTGTCTTGCCAAGGTGCTATCTCTGATTTATGGTGGGCCTCACATACAAGGCCCAGTTAGCAGTTAGTAAAGGGGCACATAGACATTTTAGTGCAGTACTGTGGTGAGAGAATATATATATATATGTGTGTGTGTGTGTGTATATGTATGTATATTGATGTGTGTGCATGTGTAGGTGTGAGTGTGTATTTTATATACTGAGTTTTCTATAATATAGCCCTTTCCCTCCTTAGTCTTATTTGCACTTAACAAGGGTGAATTGGGGTCCTGGTGCCAAGTGGGGACAGGCTGCTTCTCTTAATTGCTCTTTCACTAGTAAAGGTGTTAACTCTTTTTAGTCAGGATTTGCCAGAACCCTCCCAAAGGCCTTTACCTTTTCCTGCCTGTCCCCCAACTTTCCCTAGTTTCAGAGACCTCTGTTCCTTTCAGGCTTGTGGTGGGCAGAGCACCATGGCCTCCAGGGCAGGGTGGGGCAGAGCTGCACACCTCAGTTGGAAGGGAAGGAGGAGTAGGAGGGACATTGCAGATCCAAACTCTTTAACAGGTACCACCGTAGGCTGGGTATTATACTGAGCAATTTACATACTGTGTTAAAACCATATCCTCAGATTGGTTGTCTTCATAATTTTTAAAACTAAACCTTTAGTGTTACAGAGGAAGTGTATGTTCATGATAGAAATGTTAGAATGTACAAATCCTCAAAAATAAGTCAAAATTACCGTGTACCAGGCAAGGGAGATGGGGGTTAGTGGTAGAACACTTATTTAGCATGCACAAGGCCCTGGGTTCCATCCCCAACACTGCAAAAACAAACAAAAAACCATATACTTACCCTCAGTCCTGACCCTCAGGGATCACCACTGTTTTTAACACACTCTTATATATGAGAGTTTTTAAATGCTTATACATAATTTACAGAGGTCATTTGTTTGTTTTTACCAAAATGAGACCATACTGTATATGCTGGCTTAAAAAATTGTATTGTGGCAAACTACATGCAATAACATAAACTTTACCATCTTAACCATGTTTATGTTTATAGTTTTGAGCACATTCACGTTATTGTGACCAGATCCACATCTTTGCCTTCCAAAAGGGAAATTTTGTACCCATTAACAACAGCTTCCCTTTCTCTGTTCTCCCCAACTCTGTTCTCCCCAACACCATCTTAGTGTCTGTCTCTCTGAATTTAACTCATCTAGGTACTGTAAGTCCCTGACCTATGTTAATCAGTTTAACAACAACCCATAACCTTCAGACCAACTAGTTCTTGACCTATGAACAGTCAAGTTGTGAACTTTCACAGATACAGTATAAGGACTCACCTTGTTGGACTTACGAATGAATACACTTAGGAACTTTCTCCCAGAACAGAACTCATTCCTAAGTGGAGAACTTAATATACTTCTGTAGCTAGTATCATACATGTATTTTTGTGACTGACATTTCACATAGCATAACATTCTCAAGGTTCATCAATGTGATAGCTTGGGTCAGAATGTCTTTCAAGTTTGAGTACTGTTCCATTGCATGCTTACACTACTAGTGTATCCATTTGTCTATCCATGGACACTTGGATTGCTTCTATCTTTTGGCTATGTGATTAATGCTGCTGTATGAACATGAGTATATAAATATTGAGATACAGTACTGCTTTCAGTTCTTCCATATGAATACACAGAAGTGGAATTTCTGGACCATAAGATGAATTTGTTTTAGGGGCCAGGGAGGTAGCTCAGTGGTGCCGCACCTGCTGGCAAGCCCAAGGTCCTGAGTTTAATCCCTGGTACCGCCAAAAAAAAAAAAAAAAAAAGATAAATCTGTTTTAAACTATTTTTTTCCATAACAGTTGTACCATTTTATTGTATATGTGCTTTTGTAATCTATTTTTTTCAGTTAACAGTCATTGACTTTACCTAATACATAGTCCCTACTCACATTTTCCCAATTGTCTCTGCTCTGTCTAAACTAGAATAGAATCTAGAATTAAATACTGCATCTGGATAGTATGTCTCTTATGTTGTCTGTTAACCTATTGTAAGCCCTCCTTTTTTCTTTTTTAATGACTCTATTGAAGTATAATTTATGTACCAAAAGATTGCCTCTTAGAAGTATAGAATGTGAAGATTTTTAGTACTATCTCTACAGTTAAATTTTAGTATGTTTCTGTCACCCTAAAAGATCCTTTGTTTGATTAGCAGTCACTACACACTTAGTGCTCTCCTACCCTCGACAACCATGCAGTCTACTTTCTAGCCCTGTAGCTCTGTGCTTTCTGAACATTGCATGTAAATGGAAATGGGCAATTCGTGGGTTTAGTCTAAAATGTTCTTTTATTCCAGGACTTCATGCCTAGTCTTCATGCCTAGACATGTCTCTGTGGGGTCTCCTGGTTTGCCAACTCTGCACTCCAGCTGGATGGACTTAGAACACCTCCCTTTGTACTCTGGTTATTCTGGACCAGGATTTGACCTCTCAGTGGAATGTTCTCATACACAGCTTTTGTTGCCACACTGTCTTACTGTACTTGATTCTCACCACAACTACCCAGTGATGAGTAGGTAGTATAATCATTTTTTGGATAAAGCAAAGACCAGGGAGTTGGTTTTGTGACTTGGTGGTGAGTGGCAGAGCTGGATCCCAATTCCAGGTCTGACTACATTACAGTCATACCCTTTAAGAGCTCTGATGCCAGGCATGGTGATGCATGCCTATAATCCCAGCACTTGGGAGGCTGAGTCAGGAGGATCATCGTGAACTTGAGGCCAGCCTGGCCCACACAGTGAGTTCAAGCCCAGTCTAAACCATCCAGTGAGACCCTGTCTCAACAAAACAAAACCAAAAAAACCCAACCAAACAAAAACCCTGTTTTCTCAGTTATGAGCCTCAATTCTACAGATTTATCACATCTGAAATCAGGAGGCTGTGTCATGATATAAAGACTTCTGAGGTTATTTACTTTCTTCCAGAAGAGCTATCATGGATTCATCGTGATGCATCTAAAGTCCTTTTGTCTTAGCGTCAGAAACTGTCTCTCTCCAGGGACTAATATACCCTGACCCACAGTGTCCACGTGGTGAACCGTGGTGCGCTGGGTTTGAGAATGTGCTGACTTAGGAAGTGGGTGCCTTCATAAACAGTGCCCCTTGCTTGTCTCTGCAGGTACTTCATGCACGGTGTGTGCCGGGAGGGCAGCCAGTGCCTGTTCTCGCATGACCTGGCCAACAGCAAGCCATCTACCATCTGCAAGTACTACCAGAAGGGCTGCTGTGCCTATGGGACACGGTGCAGGCAAGGACTCGATGCCCGGGGTCCCACATATGTGGAACGCGGTTCTCCACGAGGGGATTTCTAGTTCAGAGGAACATGACATTACAGACAAATGGAAAATAATTTGAAAACCTGCTTCAGTTCCTAAAACTACTTCTAATTTTCAAAGCCACCTTTCAGGCTCTATTCTTATGAATAAGTAGGATTTTAAATCTTGCTCTTTTGCTCTGCAAATGTGTCCTAAGCTTTTGCCCATGCTGCTGTTCTGTCTCCTCCTTATAATTCTGGAGCGTTTCATATGGTGATGTGCTGTCCTTGTTAGATATGTGCATGGCCTTGGTAGCAGTGCCCCTGTGGGAGCGCTCACCCCCACAGCCTCCTCTGGCGACTTTTACAGCTTCCAGATACAGCCGGGCATGAGCTGCTGGAGTCTTGAGTGGTGAGGGCCCCCCTGCCATCCATTTCCTAGCTGGAACCCTGACTCCTGGGGTGGCTGGACCAGTGTCCTGTGGACACTTGTGTATTGGCCAATAGCGGTTATGCCACTCACTCCCCCAATGGCCAGGTGGTGCTCACTCCTGATTCCTTTTCTTGGTTCTACTACTGTGGGAGATAGGTGGGGAATCCGTGGGCCTAGCAGTGGCTGGGGTGTGGCATCCAGCATGCACCTGACCCGTGCATGTGTTCTGTTCAGGTATGATCACACGAGGCCCTCCGCTGCAGCTGGGGGGGCTGTGGGTCCCCCACCTCCCATTGGGCCCTCTGCAGCCTTCCCAGGTCCTCACCCCCCTTCTGACCTCACTGTGGCTGCCATGAAGATGCCATCCCGAGAGCCTGGGCGTCGGGAGAAGAGGACGCTGGTGCTCAGAGACCGCAGTAAGTGAGCAGGGCCTCACTGCCCTATGGAATGCAGCATGCCTATCCTTGGTGCTCCTTGCTGGCCTCTCCCATTGAGAGGCCGACCCTGACACCCCAGGTCCATGTGGCTGCAGAGTGCTGGGCTCAGTGCCATTCTTGGCCTGGCAAAACACTAGACGTGGTCTTTCTGTCACGATGTCATTGCCATCTTCACAATGGTAAGGCCGCATCAGGCTGCTCACTTCAAAACTGCATGTTTGAATAAAGAGTGGGTTACACTGTTGGCTGTTGAGGTTGTGCAGTGCTGGTGTCAGATGTACCACCTTGTTGAGGGTTTGGATCACGTCTTCTGACGTGGGAGCCTGTCAGGGCTGGAGAGGGCTGTGCCCGGGGATGAGGAAGTCACTGATGGTACAAGTTATTTTCATTGGCTGCTCCTTTCTAGTGCCTAAATAGGCAGCTTCTGTCTTCAGCAGGGGAGTCACCAGTCTATCTGCAGGTGGCGAAGCTCCAGGGGTGGGGGTGCACAGGGTGGGCTGACCTCATCCTGAATTCCCTTTGGTTGAAGAGTGGGTTTAATGGTAACTAGTCTGTGTGTTCATATTTTTGTGTACACATATTCAGACAGCAATAAGTATTTTGTATCAGTGTATCATGTTCTGTTTTGCTCTTTTCCCTGTCTCACCACATATATATTTTGACTTTTCACTGTTAAAGTTATGCAGTCCTTTTATTTTTTTTCCTGTTTGGCCTGCTTTTTTGCTCTCTGTTCCCAACAGTGGGTTCCGTGGGCTGGTGTCACTGACTGTTGGGTTTGGCCAGTGACCCATTCTCATGTGTGCATGGTTCGTTCTGTGTCAAGATCTCTCTAGCCTGGCTGAAGAGAAGACTCCCCCAGGCGTGGCCCCGAGTCACCCAGGTGGCTACAGCGACCCCCAGACTGGCCCTGAGATGAAGCCCCATTCCTACCTGGATGCCATCAGGAGTGGCCTTGATGATCTAGAGTCCAGTAGCCCCTATACCAGCGAGCAGCAGCTGTGCCCCTACGCCTCGGCTGGGGAGTGCCGCTTCGGGGATGCCTGTGTCTACTTGCATGGGGACATGTGTGACATCTGCAGGCTCCAAGTTCTGCACCCTTTTGACTCAGAGCAGAGGAGAGCTCATGAGAAGGTAACATTGTACCCCTCGACGTGAACTAACTGAGAAACCTGAACTGTACCAAGGAACAGGATCATTGGTCTCTATGGCTCTCTTTCTGTCAGGATCACCTGCCTTGTGTCCCTGGTACATTTACATCCTGTTTTCAGGGGTTTTTAAAATTGTGTTGTCATTTTGTCAATTTGAGATTATTTAGAATAAAGAGAAAAAGAATAGGCACCAGAAATGTAAACCAATGCCCAGTTCAGAGAACAGAAGTAGATCAGGATTATGGCTGATGTGTGTGGGTATGCGCATGTGCTACACACACACACACACACACACACACACACACACACACACACACACACACACACACACACACACACACACACACACACGGGGATGTGTGTGGGCATTCACGTATACTTCCCTCCCACACACACCTCATTATCCCTAGGCAGGACTGAGTTTTGGAGGCTGTGAGGAGCCCTTAGGCACAAAGTGTTGGCAGGACCTCTTTGTCGTCCATGTCCCATTTTCTCTGGAAATTCTGCCTTGTGCTAGGCCCTGTGCTTGGCACAGAGGGTCTGAAGAGGGCTTAGAAAGAAGAGGGTAGAAGCCTGGGGGCTACAGTGTTAGACAAATTACATCAGATGGAGAGGACTAAATGCTGCTGAGGAGCTGAGCTGTTTGGCCACTTCACTAGAGAAGGCCCGTCTGGTAGGAGCGTTGGTATGGAAGCTCTGTACCATGGCCCTACGCAGGCCTGGGTAGGCCCACTGTGTCCACTTGCAGCCAGCTCCAAGGCCTTGCCTGAGTCCTGGGTGGTGTGTTCTCAGGGGACACTGTGCTGCCACCCGTGACTGGGCTGCTACTGCCAGGCCTCAGCTTCAGGGCTCTTTAGCATTTTGGGGGTGGGGGTGTATCCAGAGGCCAGGAGAAAGGGTCCCAGTCCTTACAGCCTCCCTGCCCCCAGGGCTGTCCTGTTAACCTTTCCAGGCCTCTCTGACCCTGCTATAAATGAAAAGTGACCACATCTGACCAGGAAGGAGGGTCACCTGAGGCCTTTTTTGCAGTCTGATAAAGACCCGTGTCCTGAGTCTGGCTGCTGGCCTCATTCATGGCAGCCACTCCATGTTGGTATCCCTGGGGGGTAACCCAGAACCTGAGCCCCTCCTACTGTCTGCCGCAGGTCTGCATGGCAACCTTCGAGGTGGAGATGGAGAAGGCCTTTGCCTTCCAGGCGAGCCAGGACAAGGTGTGCAGCATCTGCATGGAGGTGATCCTCGAAAAGGCGTCGGCCTCCGAGAGAAGGTTTGGGATCCTGTCCAGCTGCAACCACACCTACTGCCTGTCCTGCATCCGCCAGTGGCGCTGTGCCAAGCAGTTTGAAAACCAGATCATTAAGTAAGTCCACCCAGGCTGCTCTTGAGGCTGAGGATCTCTGCCCTTGACCTCCCTTCATGCCTTGACCTCCTAGCCCCACTTCGTGGATGAGGCAGTTCACTTGCCCTTCCTGAGCCAAATGCCTTTTCCTCTGATGATGGTGACAGTTCCTCTCAGAGGCTGGGGACTCTGCAGAGGGCAGGTGTTTGGTGTCACTGCTCAGTACTATCTCCCAGACCTGCCTCTGGCCTTAGCCCAGTTGCCTAGTAATCTTATGAGCTTTTTTTTTCACCTTAAAGGAAAGAAAAGGGTTTGAGGATTACATGGAATAATGTATGGGGCCATTTCCTGTTGCCTGGCATGTGGGATGTGCTCCGTGGGGCTGGCACAGTTTGGGGGGGAGGGGGTGGCATGGTCACTGTGTGGTCCTGGCAGGTGCGCTTCACACTATAAACTCAGGGACCCCCTGCCGTCATCCTTTTCCTACAGAGAAGGAAATAGGCCTGGTGAGTCCGGCAACTGGCCTAAAGTCACAAATTTGTGTGCTTGCACCATAGCTTTAGTGAGAGTGTACATTCCGGTGGCGTTTCACATGCTTTCAGAGCAGTGTAGCCATCATTGCATTCTGACTTTAGATCATTTCCCTTGTCCCCACAGGCATCTCCCTCTGCAGTCACCTGTTACGTTGCAGCCACTTGCCCCATTTCTACAAGTGCCTATCTGGGAATGATGTTCTCAGGTTCACCCCTGCAGCAGAGTACATCAGTGTTTGTCCCTCTCTGTGGATGAATGATGTTCCACTGAATGGCAGGCTTTGTTCCTTCACCTGTTCTGCTGGCGGGCATTGGATTTCCCCACTCAGCCTTAGGGGTGACACACCTATGCGTACTTGTGGACAAGTCCCGTGTGGGTGGGTTTGCTTGGGTCTAGGTGTGCTCCAGAATGGGCTCCCAGGGTCACAGGCAGCTCTGAGTTGAACAGATGTTTTCCAGATCTGCTGCCTCATTTTCTGTCCTTGGCATGTCCTCACCAATACTTGCTTTGGTGCAAGTCACCTTGGTCTTGATTTGCTTTTGAGCATCTTTTCAAGTGTTTATAGGCTTTTACATCCTTTGCTCAGGTTTAAATTGCGTTATGTGTGTTATTATTGAAGAGCCTGTTTCAGCAGTGAGTGATGTACTTAGGTGATTGTACCTCGTGGGATCTTTGAAGGAGATCCCTGTAGGAGCATCAGAGCTTTCAGAGTGGGGTGTGCACAGGATTTGTGACAACATTTCTCCCTTACTAACCCAGTTCTTATTTCAGGTCTTGTCCAGAATGCCGTGTAATATCCGAGTTTGTCATTCCAAGTGTGTACTGGGTAGAAGATGAGAATAAAAAGAACGAGTTGATTGAAGCTTTCAAACAGGGGATGGGGTAAGTGCTTGGAATTCACAGGACCGTGGCACCATCCTGGCTATGGTTCTGACCTCTGCCTTCTCAGGCCCAGGTGCTGCCTACCTGCTTTATCCATTCTGCTGATGTACCCCAGTTAGTTCGCAATTCTGGCTATTCTGAACAGTTTTTTTTGGAATTCCATTTAACACACAGCATTTTGTGTGCGTGTGTGTGTGTGTGTGTGGTACTGGGGATCAAATCCAGGGCCTCGTTAAATAACACTGGACCACCAACCTGCACCCTAGCCAGCTTGATCTCTTTTTTTAAAAAATAGATTTTTTAGTTGTCATAGTAGGCTCTTTGATTTTTCCTACTAACTTTTACGCCTCCTCATTACTGTCTTCTGTACTACAGATGTTATACACATGCGCATATTATAAACTGTAAGATAGAAAACATAACTTTTGCCTTAAACTCATTTTTTTAAAAGAGGAAATTTTTGGCTGGGAGTGTGGTACATGTGTGATCCCAGCACTCTAGAAGACTAAGGTAGGAGGATGGCAATTTCAGGCCCAGGGTAATTTAGCGACTTAGCAAGAAAAATAAAAAGGGCCGTGCATGTAGCTCAGTGCGAAGCCTCGGTACTGAGGAATAGTTTTTTATATCTGCCCAGATACTTGTTTGTGATGCTCTTTCATTTGATACATATAATTCATTGTCCATATTCATGGGCCATACAGCTCACATTCAACCAACTAGATTAAAAATACTCAAAAAAAAATTGCATTTATGCTGACACATAATGGGTTTTTCTTCCTTGTCACTATTCCCTAAACAATGAGGTGTGACAACTGTGTGCATGGCACTTGCACTGTGTTAGCAGTAATCTAGAAGGGATAGGAAGTGGCAGAATGTGCACAGGCCACATGCAGGTGTGACGCCGCTTGAGGGACAAGAGTACTCATGGATCGTGGTGTCTAGGGAGTCCTGGAACCAGGGCCAGCCCCTGGATCCCAAGGGATGATTAGAATTCCTTCCACTTGGTATAACTTGCCCTTAGCCTCAAGAGTTGCCTGTCACACTTTGTTGCTCTGTTGGACAGTAACTGATTTCCTTTCTAGCAGATGTCCCCCTTCAGGAAGGCTCTCTTCACTGAGTACTTTGGCCTCGCTGGTCTGATCACTGTGCCCTTGTGGGTTGGGGCTGTGGGGTTCTCTTTCCCCAGCACTTTGGTTTAACGTGTTGTCACGGTTCTGATGGGAACTTGGGGAGCTTGGTTGTCATTCTCCAGGTGCTCCCGGTATTTTCTCTTTATCCTGGTTATCTGCATCTGGATATTTGGCCCAGGAGTGATTTTTTTCATGCCATACTGCTTGGTAGTCTCTGAATATGTAGGTTTATGTCATTTAGCAAGTTTAGGGAAATTTTGGCCATTGTTTCATCAAACTTTTTTTTCTACCCAGTTTTTCTTCTCCTGGGACTGATTTTAGATATATATAAATAAACACACACACGTGTGTGTGTGTGTATGTGATGGGCATTTTTATACTGCCCCATAAGGCTCTGTTTTCAATCTGTTTTCCTTCTCTGTTCATCTCCAGTACATACATGTGGCTACTCAAATCCTTGTCACCTGGAGGCTGGTCTCTGTTGATTATCTTTTCTCTTAATAATGGGTCACATTTTCCTGGTTGTTTTGGCTCTCCCACTGAGCTGCATCCCCATCCCACCCCCCTTAAGGTCTCGTTAGCCTTGAACTCACAGCAATCCTCCTGCCTCAGCCTCGTGAGTACAGGTATGCGCCACCACACCCAGCCCCCAGCCCTTTTATTTTGAGCAGTCTGTGTTGAAGAGGCTGGGCCCAACCTTGAGATCTTCCTGCCTCAGCCCCTCAGAGTCCTGGGATTACAAACATCTACCACCTTGCTGAGCTAAAGTGTTGATGGTTTTCACAGATGAGTAAAACACCTGGTTATCTCATACTTAAGAACTGTCCCTTCTCACTTCTCTGTATCTGAGCTGTTTTGAGCAGGTGGCTTAGGTGCTGCTCTGAGCTATGGCCAGGTGGTATCAGCTGTGGGCCAGGCACTTTTCCTCCTCCTGCCCAGGCCTGTGGTGTATTCTGCTTCATCTCCTCCAGCTCTACTGTCTTGGGCCAGCCCTTCAGGTGTACACACACACACACACACGCACGCACGCACGCACGCACGCACCCCAGGCTCTTCCTGCCTTTGTTCCCTTTACCAGTGACTTCAGGATAATTCCCAGGGGAAGGGAAATTAAAGTGGAACTCTGTGTCACCTTTTAAAGTAGTTCCCTTGTGCTGTGGACCAGTTACCAAAGCTTCAGTATCCTGTTTTGTCCCCCTGCAGTTTCCCACCTGTCCTGACTGTCCACAAGAGGGCAGGCGTGCAGGACGGACTACCGCACTCTATCTACTGCTGCTGGGCCTGGCCCCGCTTCCCCAGCCCCTGCTGTGCAGGGCTTCTTCAGGCCAAGCACCTCCCAGGGTGTGGGATGAGTTTTGATGTTGACTTGGGAAATGTGGCCCAAGCCAGAGCACAGGCACAGGGCAACTTATCGGAGCTGTTAAGTCCTAGAATGGGAACAGTGGTCCATGTGGTGTGAGGCTGGAGTGACAGGTATCTGGAGGTGCCAACTTGGGTCCCTTGGAGGGGCAGTAGATATGTTGAAGGACCTGAAGGAGGGACAAAGGTGGACTGGATGTGAGAGGTGACCAGCTAAGGCTGAGGGGCTCTATGAGTGGGATTCTGAGGCAGGAGACATGTGAGAAGGTAAGGCACTAGAGGTGGGGAGGAAGGGAAGTGGACCAAGGGCTGGAGGCTTAGCTGCCCAGGCCCAGGGCCACCTTGATGGTGCTGCTGCCCAGGAGGAGGAAACTATTGGTGCCTGGGGGCTGTGAGCAGACACAGGGAGCCCAGCTTTACCCCCTTGGTCCCCAGAGTGGCCTTGCTTAGGCCTCTAGCTGCTGTCATTCTGTCATCGAGCTGTAATGCAACCTGAGACAACACAGCTGATCTCAGGCCCTTTTCTCCACCTGTTAACCCCATATTCTCCCAGCTGCCTCTCAACACTTTTTCTACCCTTTAGGAAAAAAGCCTGCAAATACTTTGAGCAAGGCAAAGGGACTTGCCCATTCGGAAGCAAATGCCTCTACCGCCACGCTTATCCTGACGGGCGGCTGGCCGAACCTGAGAAGCCCCGGAAACAGCTCAGCTCTGAAGGCACAGTAAGGGTGAGGATGGGGCTGCAAGCTGCAGGCTTATCCTCCTGCCAGCCTTGAGTGTGGGGTGGCCTCAGGAGGGCATGGTTATACCCTGCAGTTTGCCTTTGCCAGTGACCGGCACGCTTGGTGGCTGTCGTTGCAGTTCTTTAATTCAGTACGGCTCTGGGATTTCATCGAGAACCGGGAAACCCGGCAGGTCCCCAACACTGAAGATGTGGACGTGACTGAGCTTGGGGACCTCTTCATGCACCTTTCTGGAGTGGACTTATCGGATCCCTGAAGGCAGCAGCTGCCCTGCCACCCTGGGCACTGAAGGCCTCCACTCTGCCAGGTTGGCTCAGGTAGCCCACCCCCTGCAGTTGAGCAGGTTGTCTTTGGTCTTCATCTTATCCACTCCAGTATGACAGTACAGGGACACGAGGAGGATATAAAATAACCTACTAAGCATATGCAATCACTGTTTTTGTAGTTGGTATTTTAGTTGCACCTGCAGCCCCTCGGGGGACCAGTTAACTGTTTGGACTGTTTTGATTGCTTTTAGGGAAACCTGACTCCTCCTGTCCTTTTTGACCTGTTTTCTCAGAAACAGTAAACTGGTAGCTAAAGCAGCAGATTCATTTATCTTACCAAAGGATTCTACAGACCTGCAAAAGGACTCCTCTACAGTGAAGCTCCCTAGTGTATTAAACAGCATTTTGATTTCTGTTTAAGAACACTTGACATAGACTGCATGCTGGGCTGAGTCCTTCCAGTGTCCCAGACCAAAGCAGCAGGCACGCTGCCACATGTGCAGCAACAGTGAAAAGTGTGTCTTCTGCCTAGGAAATGGAGTCCCTTCCTCTTGGGGGCTTGTGCCCATTGTGGTCATTCTGCTGAGGGCTCTAAAAGTGTTTTCTGGTCCTGAGAAGACCTGAGGCCAAGTCTGCTGCCTGATTTTAACTGAAGAGTTCAGATGACCATGCAAGTCAGAACCAATTTTTCCAAACCTGAATTTATTTTTGTAAAAAGCTATAGATCACCAAATGTTTTATAAAGTGCATTACCTGAAGTGTGGGTAGAAGCTCTTACCTGACTTTAGAGTCCTTTTTGCTTTTTATAGTTAGGCTAAGTGAAGTCCACTTCTGGCAGAGCTCTGGCCACTTCCTTGAACTCTGCTGCAGAAAGAAGTGGCATATGGAGCTGCAGCAGGACCAGGGCCTGCTTCCAAAGGAGTTAACAGCCATCAAAACTAGATTTATTTTATTTTATTAAAATAACATAATTGAGGAACAATCAGATAACTTGTATCTTGTCAGGTGCAATAAAAACAAAATTAAAACCCAAATCATCAAGAAAACCTGGGTCCTGGCTTCCTTGCATACATGACGCTGAGGCTGACTAGGGACAGGGCTGGCCAGCGCCCACCCTGGGGCAGCTCCTGGAAGACAGATTCAGCATGAGGGGGCTGCTCCCATGGAGGGCAGATGGGACATGGGGACACATCCCCACAGTCAAGTTCCATAGTACCAAAGCAGACTCTCCACATCCGGGATCCCGGCAGTCCTGGCTGTTTGGTGCATTATGTGCAAAACTGTTTGGTGCTGCACCACTGTCCGAGAGGTGAAAAGGCTGATTTCCGAAACACCATGTATCCCTGCACCGGGGCTGGGCTGTCCACCCCCTTTCTCTCCCCCAAAACACTCCTGCCTCTTGCTGCCAGCCAGGGCCCAGCGTGGTATTGCATGAGATCTATGTGCACCTGGAGAAGGCTGGGCCCACAGGGACGAGGCAGTGGGGCAGTGACTGGCTTTCTCCCGGGGCCATGTGGGTAGAGAAGAAGGCAAAGTGAAGTAAGGCCCCGTGTATGGTCTAGAAGGTCCTTAGCAGCTTCTGACTCCCTCCCTCCCTGGGTACAGAGCCAGCTAGAAGACAGGCAGCCGCGGGGATGTGGTCAGCGTGCATGCATTGATGTCTTCAGTGTGCGCTGCCCGGTGCAGGGACGGCTCAGATGCACTCCGGTTGATCTTGGGCAGAGAGTGCTGGAGCAGCTCGATGGAAGATAGGATCTGAAACAGCAGTGAGGATGGTCAGCTGGGGCTCAGGGTTCCATCAATCAGCCAGTGCTCTTGGACTGGGTCCCCTCCCCCTTTAAACCTCTCCCGCATCCCTCTGAGGCCTCACCTGGGGGAAGAGAGGCCGCTCCTCCTTCACCTTCTTCACACAGTCTGCCACCAGCCGCTTCATGGCCTTGGGGCAGTTCTTGTACAGCTTGCTAAGGTCTGGCGAGGCATAACCTCGGCCCACCATGAAGATGATCTAAGGGGAGAGAGCAGTGAGTGAAGGGAGGGACCCTGGGGGTTCACAGGCAGCTGGGGGCCAAGGCACTCACTGCATGTCACCTGGTCACGGTTGTTGATGTGGGAGTAGGGGAGCTCCCCCGTCATCAGCTCATACAGCACGATGCCGTAGGAGTAAACGTCAGACTGAAAGCTGAATGGGTTGTTGTCCTGCATTCGAATCACCTCTGGGGCCTGTGGGGACAGACCCATGCATCATCACCTTGCTGTGTTCCCACAGACACCAGGGCCAGGTGGTGGCTAAAGCCAGTTCAAGGCTTACAGTCTGCCCAGTTATCGCCAGAATACCAACTCCAACCCGACCCCTCCTCTCCTTTCCGTCAGGAAGCCCCCATCTGCCGGGTCTGCCAGCCTCCTCACCATCCACAGGACAGAGCCAGTGGGCTGCTCCACCTGCTGAGAGCCACTCCAGCGGGACTTCACTGTTGCCAAACCAAAATCGCCAATTTTCACTGTTAGGCCTTCGTGGAGAAATATATCTCAATGCCTGTTAAGGACTCTGGCTTCAAAATAATCAACCTAATTTGAAAAACTTCCCAAAGGTGCTTTTCACAAGTGACCTTTACCTAAGTGACCTTTACCTAACCCTAGCCCAGCCTTCTCTGCCCTGCATCTAGGCTTGGGAAGTTTAGAAAAGTACTTTCTACTTCCCTTCTTCCAGGAGGGGTGGGAATTGCCCATTTCCACATCTAGGTGGGGGCTCCCTCCCTCATGACCTTCCTGTGTGATTCAGGAGCCAAGCATGGCCTGGCAACTGCCCACCCTTGGCGTTCATGGGCCAGCAGAGACAGAGCTCCTTCCTGAGTGCTAATGGCTGACATTCAAAATTTCCCACTTGGAGACCTCAAGGCAACTCCCTCCCTTGGAAGGAACCGAAGTAAAGAAGTCAGACAGTGTACATCTGACTGTGACCTAGCCCAGAAATTCACACCTACTTAAATTGGTGGTGTCTGATGTCATGGTGTAGTATTTTGCTGCCCAAAAAGCTGGCCATTGAAGGTGTTCTGTGCCTGAGACAAGTACCCAAAAATAGCCAAATAGGCCTCGTCTTCTGATCAACTCCGCACCCCCTGCCCAGAAGCATGCTTCTTCCAGAGGGAGAGCCATTAACATGCCACGCTGCTTAGCGTGAAAATTTCCTTTTACATTCTATGAAATGTTAAAAGTCTCAGGAAAGCTTTGGAAACCACCATGACCTCTAAGGAAACTACTACACCTTCAAGGACAATGTTCAGTAGTAATTTTGGAAATCTTCCCAAAGTAGCTTATAGCTACTTTCTCACCAGATACATACACACACTGTCACAAACTAGAAATAAGACTATAATAAAAACAGGCCTATTTCAAGTCCCAACACTTTTCAAATCACTACTGCTGAGAAAAATCTAGAAAAGAAAGTCATATTTCCTGGACACTGCCCCTCACAGTGCCATAGGCAAAGTTGGCTTAGGTCAGCCTTGAGGACTGCTTCTCTAAACATCAACCTTTTTACTTGTTTCTTCCTGTTTTTTGCCTCTTTCCCTAAAAAGCTGCCCCTTGGCACTAAGGTCCTCGTGGTAACAATCTCCTTTGTTTGCTAAGTCTGAACTGAGCCATCCAATGACACAAACACCAAAGGATACTGTTGGATTTCATGTCTCGGTGGATGATGTTCTTCGCGTGTAAGTAGCTGTGAAGGGAAATAAATCTACTAAAAACGACCGGACACAAGCAGTTTCAAACCACAGCTAAGAAATGAAGCCACCTGCGGGCCTGGCCCTGGGAGGACTGACAGTGGGCTGGCCCTAGTCCACATCACTGCTCCCCCCAAGGGAGGCCACAAACAAATGTACTGGTGCTTCTTTAAGCATCAGTTTTACTCCAAAATAACCATAACGCAGTGTCCATTGGTTGATGGAACAGGATGGCATGGCCTGTCCCTAAGAGAGAGCATTAGTTGTCAAGAAAATGAAGTTCAGACACATAACACGAAACCAAGTAAGAGAAGGCAGGGACAAAGGACCACGTTTTACAGCTAGGATTCCATTTACATGGATGTACAAAACCAGACAGGAAGGAGAGGGCCAGGGGCTGGGGTAGGAGGGACAGGGTGACAGTGAATGCCAAGGAGTCTTTCTGGCTGACAAGAGAGTAGTGATAAACACTACACTTTTTTTTTTTTTTGGTACCAAGGATCAAACTCAGGTCCTTCCACTTGTGAGGCAGGCAGCGGAACCACTGAGCTAAATCCCCAGCCCAACACTACACTTTTTAAATGGCAAACTCTATAGTATGTGAATTATATCAATTTTCTAAAGAGGTATTATTCTACGTATTGCTTAAAATTCACTTCCCTATGAAGGCACCTGCTGTAGGAATTTTAAAAGATCCACGAAGGTGTGCGCCCCACGAGTCCATGGGCAGCTGGGCCAGAGGGGGACCATGCCAGGCACAGGCCAGAGGGCAGTGTGGAACTGAGGTGCTGAGGATCCCTACAGGCCTTATCTGAAGGGAGAATAAATGACCCAAAAGTAGTACATGACCAACCCCTATGTGGAGAAACATGGAACATGCCCTGCCCACCGGCCTAAGCAGAGGCCCTCCAAGCAGTGTTCAGGGGGCTCTGGATGATTCCCAAGCACACCCAGCCGGTGAGGACCCAGGGCCTGAACCTCACCCAAGGCTCCTTGCCGGCCACCATGCAGGCCACCTGAAAGGCTCTTACAGTGCTGACTCCCACTCAGGGCCAACTTGGTGCTCAGCCATTCATACTTACTCCATGCCCTGAGCCGTCTGCCGGGCGATGTCCATCAGCTGGAACATCTGGAACTTGGTCTCCTGGACATGCAGGTGTTTATAGAGGCTGCTGCCCTCACACCATTGTGTCACAATAGCCAGGTTGTCCTTCGTCATGTACCCCATGAAGAGCAGGATGTTCACATGCCTTGTTTTGCTGGGAAGAGAGGAGAGGATGCTCAGGAAATCTCCACTGTCCCACAGCCCACACCTGTGTGCCCTTGCCACCACCGGCAGCAGCCCACTCCCCAGCTTGGGGTCTCAGCCATGGTGTCACCGTCCTCAGTGCTGGCCTTGTCCACAGGGGTACGTTCTCTATGACCAGCGACATGGCTTTCCATGAGCCTCAGGTTCCCTCCCCTGTGGAATCCACCACCACCCAACCAGCTCCTGCAGGGCAGAGCAGCAACTTAGGATATGACACTGAAGTTTTGAAACTCAAGAGTAAAGTAACTTGGCTATAAAATGTTCTTGGAAATAAAGGTAAAAATGGGACCTATTTCTCCTGACTGTCAAACCAAAACCCAGAGAGCTGGGGGTGGAGTGCAGTATGCTCAGAGAGGGGTCCACGTGACAAGAGTGCTTGGGAAAGCCCTTCTCACATCAGGTATAGCACTAGCCAGCAGCTGCAGCCCCAGACCCCAGTGCATGGCTGCCTCAAGGGGCAGAACTTACCGAAGCACCGCCACCTCGTTCCTGAAGGCCTGGAACTGCTCTGGGGTTGGGTCTACCACCTTCAGGATCTTTACTGCCACATCTCCTGCAAATGAGACCACAGTCAGTGCGCTCTGCCCAATGGGCTGTGGGGTGTTTTCAGGTGTGTTGAGGAAGATACAAGGCATTGTTTCTTCAGTCTACTCTCTATAAAGATGAAACAGACCTGCAAATTTCTAAATCAAGTGGCCAAAAAAGTCTTTCCATGGTTTCACTGCCATCCTTACCTACCTGAGGTCTGTGACAGGCTTGGCTTCAATGACTACACAGTTTACACCCTGGCAGTCACACCCATAGCCCTAGGGGCTGGGGCCAGTGTGTGGCTTCAGACAGCCCAGTAAACCAGGCTCTGGCCAGCAGAGGGGCAGAGATTCCTCTTGTTAAAACAAAAATCAAAGGCACATATTGAAATAAGCTGCCCTGCCTTTCACTCTACCAAAAAGCACCCTAAGGAGGAATGGCTACTGGATCCTGCCGCTGTGCTACAGCACGAGTACCACTAGCCTGGTTCTGCCTGTGGGAGATGCTTGCCTCTGGCCATCCAGCCAGAAACCTGGAGTCCAGGCCAGGATCTGCACCCTACGGACGCTTACTGAACACCTGTGCCTGAGACAAAGCCACCAGGTGCTAATGTGACTCAGAACTGCCCCCCACTCAGCTCTCCTTCACTTTCCAGCATCTGTTACCAAGATCGTTATAGTTGTGGTTACCATAACAGGGCTCCCTATCAGGACTCTACAGGGACACAATTTACTAAGCCCAAGCTTAGCATCCCATGATGCTAGCAGCAGTGAGCACAGGGCGGGAAGGCAGAAGCATTGCTTGGGGCACACAGGCACACCCACTGTGGAGAGATGGCACTGCCAGCCTGTGGCCCACATGCCACCTGCCCTGTTTTATTTTTTTGTTCTTTGGTTTTTTTTTGAGACAGCAGTTTCACTATGTAGTTCAGGCTGGCCTTGAACTCAGTGATCCTTCTGCCTCAGCATCCCAAGTGCTAGGATTACAGGTGTGTACCACCATACCCAGCTACACTCTCCTGGTTTTATGTGATGTATATATACAAACTATACCATACAATTAAATTATATCCCTTGCGTGGTGCAGCCCATGGTGCAGCCCAGGCGGGCATCCAAGCCAGGACACTTCCCAGCTCGAAAGCAGGTTCTAAAGGGCTCTCATATAACGCCTGTGTGCCTCCACCCACCTTGCACAGGGGATGCCCACTGGGCTCAGTCACCTCCTGTCCAGAAAGTGGGTCTGACTAAGCACGCAGGGCCACTCCCTCTGACAGATGTGAGGCAGTGCACCCCTATGGGGAGGATGGTAAAGGACTTCCAGGGGGAACAGGGCACAAGGCAAAGTTAGGTCAGTGGGAGAGAGGACGAAGGGAGGAGACGACAGGAGCTGTGCTTGACTTCAGCCTGTGTCTGGCATAGGTCAGAGGGGCAGGCAGACATCTGCACAGCACCCCATGTTAGGGGCAGGTGGGGACTGACAGGGAATGGTAGGAGGGGACAGAGGCAGAAATTCTGAAGGGGCAGCCAGGTGAGCCACAAGGCTGGGGACACAGCTGGTGGCCCAGGTCCTCCAAGCACATAGCTCTCACAAGGAGCACAGGTGGGTGTGCACGGCCCTCTGGGATCTGTGGGGGTCTCACTCAGACCCCTCTCCCTGGGCACCCCAGGGCTTCTGGCCATCCAGCAGCACCTATCCTGGCTCCGAGTATTCACAGAAGGTGCCTGGCAGCTGAAGCCCACTTGGTGACATGCTCCACCCTCAGAGTCAGCAGAGTAGCTTCATGCCTGACACTGCTGAGCTGCATCCTCCACCTGCAGGACTTGGCCTGCCACATTCATCTTCTGCTTGTGCCATCATCATCATCAGGTGAGGTGGTCTCATCTTTAAACCTGCCTACCTCCACACATGCCCTGTGTTGCCCTGCAGGTCCCTGAAGAAATTTAGACAGAGGCAAACCAAAGCCAGGGCCCTGCAACACTGGTGGGGACTCCTTGCCAACCAGCTCAAGTTTAAACAAGGTGACACACTGTGCAGTTTCTTACTAAAACCCCAGAGCTGTAATTCTGTAGGACAGCTCTTGCCTCACTTACGTGTAAGGGATTCCCCAAATGGCTACTAGAGGGACTCGCAGTCTGCTGGGATGGAAAAACAAAGCCTTACAGAAAAATGGCTTTCAAACCACAGAAAGAAGGGCTTTCTACCGGTGTGAATGTCTTCATCCTGCTTTCCACAGAGGTGGCCAGACCCCCAGGACCCCTTTCACCCAAATGACATCCAACATCTTCAGGCCCCGCTCCAAGGAGCTTCAAGAAGCCTCTCGGATCGCCTGGGTTCTCCACACAGCCTGGAGAGTGCCACTCTGCACAGGCCACCCCAGGCTCTGACCTCACTGGCAGAGCTCTTCCCCCTCAGTGGGAGCAAACCACTACCTGCCTGGCTCCCTCCTCTTCCTTGGGGCTTGCACTGCATACCTGCCTTTCCTCACTCACTGTTCAGACCAGAGTATGGAACTCCATTAGGGAAGGGGTTGTTTGTTCACTGCTTCATTTCCTAGCCCCAAGAAGAATGCATGGTGTTTTAGAAATGTTTGAGACACATGATTAAAAATGAATGAGTACAAGCTGAGAGCACAGTGGGGTTACCAGAGCTGGGAAAGGGTGACCAATGAATGGTCACTTGGTCACAGACAGGAACCTGAAGTCCTGTGAATGAGTGCACATTAGTGTGACTAGAGATGACAATAATGTACATTTCAAAATCTGTAAGGAACCTGAAATTCTTTACCAGGAAGAAATGATAAACATTTGAGACAGATAGGTTTTAATCTAACTTAAGCATCATGCAGTGTACATGCATATCAAAACACTACATGGTATGACATTAATATGTACAATTGTTATGTTTAATGTATCAGTTAAAAATAAATTTTAAAAAGTGAATGGATCCTAAAAATGGAAACAAAGTCTTTGTAAATAGGGAGGGGTGGAGGGGTGAAAGGAGAACAGGGGAATGGAGAAAAAATAAGAACCAAGATATATCATGTACAGGTATAAATTCCCAATGATGAATGTCATCATATTGTATACCTAAAATGTACCGATAAACTTAATGAATTTTTAAAAAAATGAATGGATCCTAGGGCCAGGGATTTAGCTCAGTGGTTCCACTGCCTGCCTCGAAAGCACAAGGACCCAAGTTTGATCCCTGGTACCAAAAAAAAAGAATGGATCCTAAGATAAAACTGTAGGCAGAAGGAGAGTTATGAAAGGCTGTCCTGAGAAGCTCAGTGGGGAACACCAGGACAGTTCAAGCACAGACTGTGGAGTCTGAAACTGAAAATAAAGCTGGCTTCTACCTGCCTGGGGTCTCAAGTCTTTCCACATCCACCCCCAGGTACCTGACAACAGGCACTCACTGACAGATGCTGACTGCTTCTTCCTCTGGCCTTCTAAACTCACTCTCAGGAAAGCCTGCATGGTGACACATTTTCCATCTCAAAGCATGCCAGCACCCTGAAGTTGGCACACCTCACCACCGGAAGGCTGGTACTCGTGAACCCCAGCAAGCACTGTGTAAGGGGTGAGAATGGTGGTGTTTATGGAGAGGGGGAGGGAGGGAGCTCACGGAGGAATCACTAAGGCAGACAACCTCATCTTCTCTTCAAGGCAAAGTCAGAGGCAAATGTGGTACAGATGGTCTGACTCGGGCATTTTCTACCTTACACTAGTGCGAAATCGACAGATTCTGCAGGAACCATCTCAGAATTCTGAATGGGGATCTTTCCCTAGGATCATGATACTCCATGCAATCCTCTCGTGATTCACAAGGGGAAGCCGCCAGATGCCACCTGCATGGTGGGGCTGAGCTAGGTGAGCAGCGGGGTCAGGCGCAGTTGCTGTGGTCTGCCTTCAGCATTTCCAACCTAAGACAGGCTCATCAGGACGGAAGCCCCTCTAGTGGAGGAACACTGTGCAAACAGGTTAAGACACCTTCCTAGTTATCATATTTTTAATATCAGATATTTATACCTCATTTATTGACCACTGCAGAAGGAGGAGCTAGTCCCACTTGGTACATTTACTTTTTTTAACCTTTATTTTTTAGTGGTACTGGGGTTTGAAACCAGGAATTTGCACATGCTAGGCAAGTGCTCATCACTGAGCAATATCCCCAGTCCCATTAATCCATCCATCCATCCATCCACGCACCCACACACCTACCTATTTTGAGACAAGGTCTCACTAACCTCCCCAGGTTGCACTCGAACTTGTAATCTTACCGCCTCAGCAGCTGTGATGACAGGCATCCTGTTTTGACTTTTACACACCACGTCTTTCTGCTACTCTGCCCAGAGGGGTCACCTGCCCTTATTACAAACACACCAGCTTTCTACAACAGAAGGAGGTTTAGTACCCTTCTCTCATTGACTGCATTGTCAATGCCTGACCCAAGGCACCCCACACTAGCATCCAAAGCCAGCCCTCCAGGGTAGGCATCTCCCTTCCTGTGCTGCAGGCACTGAGCAGAGCTGTTGCTCCCAGGGGGCTGGGAGTTGGCCACAGGGGCCTCCTTTACAGGGACTGGGGCTCCCCATCTTGAGCTGAGCCTCTGTCTCCACTGCTCTGGAACCTCGTCACTTCTTCCACAGTTGCTAGGCTGAGTTCAAAAATTTTTGAACTGAAAATCATAAATTGCCATTTTTAAGATACTGAATAGAACACTGCATTGTAAACAAAAATTAGACACATACACAGAAAGTACAAAACCCTCAAACTAGATATGTCCACTTCCTTGGCAGCACATTCTTTCTCATTCACACTGTTCCTTGTTCATCAAGCCTACAATAATTCTACTGCCAAGGGTATAGGTCACCTGATGGGCAGGAAACAAGCCTACAACGCAGTGCTGGTAATAAAGGCCTTGAAAAACTATGAAGCCCCAAATAAAAGTGCTCCACCAAAAGAAAATCAAAATTGGGCACAATCTGAACTGCATCTGTCAACTTTGAGCTAAGGCCTTTGAACTACAGGATGAAAAGGACCACCTGCTCCTAATGGAAACACTGGACACAATGCCCACGTTTCCCTCCTCCAGCTTCTAGGAACTTGTGACGCAGCTATGAGCCTTGCTGCAGACTTTCCATCCTGAGGCCCCCACAGGTTTAAGGCGTCTCAAATACTCTGCAATTATGTCACTTCTCTGGGCAGCAGTATCTTAAGACACAAGTTTCAAAGGCAAAGAAAGCATAAAAAATTACCAACATTCAGCCCTGTGACATTAAGAACCAGGATTTCTCAGATGATTGGCTGCAATGGCCAAGAGCCGTGCCAACTCAGGACACTGAAGAGTTTGTTTTCTGCATCATCAATTTCAATGCTATGTTCCCATGATGCTCTTCTCTCTACTTTCTTCTCTCTACTACTTACTTCTCTCTACTTTCTTCATTTATCTATAAAGATAGCTGTCATGGCATACAAAGCAGAAACACAGGCACCTATGCACTTTAGGATTTTGCTAGATTAGAATCTGAATTTAGAAGAGATGACTTTTTGGAAACATGCAACATTTCCAAGAAAATACTGCCTATATTTGCTAACATCTTAAAGCCAGAGGCATTAAAAATCCTGACACAGAAATGTTAAGTATGTTGCCAAAATATTGAACATTGCCAAAACATACAAGCTGTAACTAAAAGTTAAAATAGCACCTTCCTTCCAAGTGACAAAGTGTCTCCACTGAAGCATAGTGCTCACATTCCACTGAGAAGCAAGTCTGCACATTCTTGCCTGCCAGGACGCCCACAGCTGACCACAAGGCCAGGCGGCAGCAGCTCCCTCCAGAGGCCTGGCCGTCTCACCAGGGGCAGGTGAGTCCACTCTCTAGACCTGTTTTCCTGCACACCACACTCTGCAAGGATCTTTCCAGCTCTGAGTTCCTAGAATCCCCACCACCCACAGCAGGTGCTTCCCAGCAGGTTTCATGAGCAGACTGGATTTAGTTTCCAACACTTGACTAGAGCTCAATTCTTGTTCACCAATTTCTAACTGCCCCAAGAACTTTATCATCCCAAGTGAAGCACCCTGAGCCTACAAAGAACGCTGGGAAATTTCACGCAGATACTATTAAGCTCCAGCCTCGGAGGTGGCCTAGTCCCCATGGGAGAGCACTGCTGCAAGGCCTCTCTGGCCTGTACCCATCTGCCCTAAGCCCGCAGCCCAGGGAGGCCTATACTTACCATGCCACTTGCCCTTATAGACAGTTCCAAAGGAGCCTGACCCAATCCGGGTGGACAGCATCACTTCACTGGCTTCTATTTCCCAGTAGTAACTCGAATCTCTCTGTCCTCGAGGCCTCTGGAATAAGGGAAGATTGTTAACAAGCTCCACGGAAGTCAACAGTCTATTAACAGCTAGGGTACTGAGGCAAAGGTCAATCCAATCCCACCCATTCCCACATCTTTAAAGACAAACTCAGTAACCATAACTGTCATGACTGCCTTTGAGAAAATGTCATTTTAGTGTGGGGCACACTGGCAAGTTTCCTAAGCAAGCATGCCAAAACTGGCACTAAGATTTATTATCTCACTCGTTAAGCATATCTTATTAGAGTTCTGTCCTAGAATAAGTTAAGAACACTCTGGTTTCCAACAAGAGCACTAATAGCACGAAGGATTGTGGGCCACACTCACAATTTTGTTCTTCTCCTGGGTGCCAGGTCCTGGAGCACGTTCTCTCTGTGCCGGCACAGGGGTTTTGGGCTGCGACCAACCTGTTGGGCTCAGGTTGTTGGGGCTGCTGGACAGGGCTGATGGGGAGGCTTAATGGACAAGACAAACAGCATCCACACGTGTATAAGCCCACAGGAGATACACAGTATAGAGAGAAATGTCTATTATTGTTTGCTAAATGACTACGGAAAAGTACCTGATTCGCTGTGACTTCGAATTGCATCCTGAAACAGAAAAGGAAAGCTGGTCAACCTATGGGCTAGAAGGAACACAGGGGGGATACGTAGGAGTGAAGTAGACTACAAAACCTCCAGCACACAGAAAGTCTAATCCTATATACTAATCAATTTCCCTCGATTAAATTCACCAAATGCTGGAGGCCAATTTCTCCCAAACTGGCTTTTAACCACTAGGAGGCCTGACATTAATCTTTCAAATCCAATAGAAACTGCACTCTTTTTCACAGAAAAAACGCACACAAAAGGCACCCTTCCTGGAAGGCTGGCACATCACTGTCGGTGAGCCTCTGCCCAGGCTCAGTCTCAGGTAGGGAGGCAATGACGTTCATGCCAAGCTTCCTCTTCCTGCACTAAGAGTTAGGGGAACCCAACTGGAAGATGGAGTCAGCCAGGGCACACACCATGACTTCACTCAAGACTGGAATCATGGAAAGCGTGACAGGTCATGAGTCCTCTGGTCCAAAACTTCTATTTTACATATGAGAAAACAGGTGAACAAACCAAGAACTGTGGCCAGGGTCCCAAACACAACCAGACAGCATCAAGCATGGGATGAGCCACTGTATGCCACCTCACACCGCAGGGTGTGACATTAGGCCATTGTGGAAACTCATTGGGAACTATTCAGAAAACAGTTTAAACCTAGATCCTAATTTAAAAATCTTCCCTGGGAATGGAATTTATAACAAAATAATATAAAATCACATGCCCCTTACCCTCAAAAAGGACATCTTCTTGGGAAGTCCTGTGCACTTTGCTTTGTGTAATGCTAGTGTAGGCAAGATGCTTGACCCACACAGTGGAGCTAGAATGACCTAGTCCATGACTTCTTCACAAGAGAAAACCACCATGAACGACCTACCCTCCTCCCCGCTTGCCCAGCATCCTCAGCACTTAGCAATGAAGCCTGGTTCTGCTTCCCAGCCCTGGCCAGCTCAGTACCCACCTTGCCTGCAAGGAAGAAGGGAAGTACAGGAATCACTAGGGCTTTAGCTATGGCAGGGTAACTGTTAGCAAGGCAAAACACTGGCCAAACATAGCCTGGATTTCAATAGAATATTCAGCAGAGATAGCTTCATCAGCCAACTAGTCTATTCTTTGTAGTCAAAGCATAGAAAACATATTTTTATTAACCAGAATTATATTCCCACGTATACAAAGATTTTGTCCTTTCATGTCACAGTAATTTTCTTCCCTGTATTCATTAATAGCTCCTATTTAACTGCACTGTAACTACATTTGGATAGGTTTATCCTAGAAGGAATTCTTCTATGGTTCTATAATCTAAATATTAGTTTAGAATTATAAATGCTTTGAAAAAAATAACAATGTCACATTAAAAATGCTGAAAGTGCTAAATCATCCACAGGCCTGAAATCCCAGCTATTCAGGAGGCTGAGACAGGAGGATTGAAATTTTAAAGCCAGTCTGACAACTTAGCAAGACCCTGTCTCAAAATATAAAATAAAAAGTGCTGGGGTGTAGCTCAGTGATAGAGCACCACTGAGTTCAAACCCCAGTACCACCCAAAGAAAAGAGTTGAACCATATGTGATTTTTAAAAGAAGCATGGCATTTATTGTATAATAAAAACTGAAGAATTTTCACTTTTAATGCTCCAAGTATTAAGAGTGTTTATGCAGAGGGCTGGGGATTTAGCTCAGTGGTTCCACCACCTGCCTCACAAGCGCAAGGTCCCGAGTTCAATCCCCGGTACCAAAAAAAAAAAATCTATAAGTAAAAATGATAAATTAAACTTAAAAAAAAAAAAGAATGCTTATGCAGGAACAAATCATGTAACAGAAGACAACTAGCTGGCTTATTACTGTATTATTACTGGGATCATAGTGACAAAACAGTAATCAAATTCACAGCTTATACACAGCCCCCTCAGTGGCAGGACAAGTGATTTGCAGGCTGAGTAGGATAAACCACACCCCAGGTGGCAGATGTCCCTGATTGTTTTCAAGGAATAATTCAAGGTGCAAAGCAAGCACAGTTCTCCCTGATAAGCTTATCACTGAGGACTCTCCAGGGAACAGTGACCACACTCCTGGGCTCTAGTGCAGGGACAGAATGCTGAGTGCCAAATAAGTAATGACAATCTTAGCAATCCTGTTAATGACAAGGAAACAAAGGCATGAAGAAAAAATACCTACTCTTCCCCTCACACAAAATCCTCTGGACCACGCCCTGGGAGAAGCATTCAGGCTGTTATTCTAGTCCAAAGCAATGAGAAACAAAGAAGAATAAAGAACAAAGGAAGTAGTTTAAGTATATTCAGTTACTATTAAAGATGAAGTAGAAAACAAACAGAGTATAACAAAAAGCCAAGAAAAGAAAAGGTCTGAAAACACTAGCTTTGGGCACTTCTATAGCTGCTTATTTAACTCCCAGGACTCCACCCTTTCATTTGCGAATGAGGTCATTTAAAAGTCTTCTAAGGAATTTGTACCTCTCCATCACTGCTTTCTTCCCCACATCAAAATAAAACTACTCTTTATGACTCTATTGCAGTACCTCAATGAAAAACTATTCCAATCTGACATGGGAAGAATGAGTTCAACTGTGAACACTTCCTCAGGAAGTTTTAGTTCTCTACTTGAATAATATACTAACCTGATTATTCTGACTATGTACAGATATTTTAAACAAAAATAAAAAAAATTTAAGTTGAGGGGCCTGAGAAGACACTGCAACATTCCCAATCAGATTTGAAACCCAAAACTCACCCCTACCAGCAGCCCCAGCTATGAAGTGACCGACATAGATCACCACACCGGAGCTCCTTACCTCAATCATCCTGCTGTCCACGGGCAGCGTTGTACTGACCATGTGGACATTGGGTGTGGACGTGGACCTCTGCCTCTGGGAGAGGGAGCCTTCGGAGGAGGGGCTGGAGGAGTTGAAAGTGAAAGCGTGGGGTGTGGAGTATCTGTGCTGGGAACTGGGCAAGGGGAAGAAAGAAGACTCCATGATTGGTGCTCAAGCTGCCCCACCCCACTGGTGCAGTCTTTCAGCTGCCTGCACTTCACTAAAATACATGGGGACAAAACTTGAACTATAAAATGTCTCATTCTTTCAATGCATCATTTAAAAAAGTCTCTTCCATCTAGGTGCTTCTGCATGCAAAATGTTGTTGTTTCTGTAGTGCTATGGATCAAATTCAGAGCCTTGTGCAGGCCAGGCAAGCACTTTACCAACTAAGATACATGATCCTACTGCATACAAATTACTGAAGATAAAAATACTAGCACATGAGCTTATAATTCACATGAAAAATAATACATTACACATTTTCTTTCCAATAAATCAGCTCTATACAATACATAGAATTTTTATAGCATCTCTACTAAAGAACAGATTAACGTTTGCCAAATACCACCTGCTAACCTAGCTGAAACCTGCCCAGTTTCATTTAGAGACCAAATCAGAGATCGCTAAAGAAGCTCTGGAGTAGATGGTTAGACCTGATGAGCACCTTTGCAAAAAGGCCAACATTTACCCACTGTAAATACTGTCCCCTAAACCTGAACACAAAGGGAATTACTGTCAACTTGGTCCTAGATCTGAAATACCTAGCTTAAATAAATCACTGGCTTTTTTCAGCCAATGTGACAACCACCCCTTTACCAACCAATCTGGGAATATATATAAAGGTAGAACATCTGGGGCTAGTACATAGCTGAGTGTAGTGTTTGCTCTCCAGGGCTGTATCTCCAGCATCACCAAGCAAGACACAACAGTTGCAGCTGGGGCACAGTTCAGGGGTGGGCACTTGCCTACATGTATGAGACTCTGGCTTTCAGCCCCAGCACCAAAAGACCATTTTTATTATCTGCTTTAAAGATTAGTTTAAGCTATGTTCAGATTCAGGTAACATATATGAATTCAAGGGATAAGAGGCTAGTTTTCATAAGACAAATTGTTCTATCACTTTGAAAGTCACCTTTCCAACTAATCCTGTATGTATGCCTTCAGAAATCTAGTTTCTTCTCAGAAAGAAAAGGTCTAAAGGGGAGGAGGAAGTGGGAGGAGTAGGGGAAAGGAAAGAAGGGAAAAGAAAAAATATGAGAAAAGAAACCTAGTTTCTTCTAATTTTCAGAGGCAAGCACACTATTCTGGTCTAATGTGCTTTTTAAATTATCAAAAAGTTAAAGTCATATACAAATATATATCATTTCAATACAAATTCCTTGTTCTTTTTATAGGATCTCGCTATGTAGTCTAGGCTGGCCTTGAACTCATAACCCTCCTGCCTCTGCCTCCTGAGATTACAGGCATGTGCCACCAATGCCCGGCAAATTCCCTGTTCAAAGATAATGCTGTCTTTAACAATTTCCCCAGCTGTTTTACAACAGCTATTAAATGTTACCTGATGACATAGACATTAAAGACAGACATTTCTGACAAAGATGTTGACTTCAATTTAGGTTCTAAATTCATGTATAACACACCAAGCAAGATGTGAACTCAAACTCTTAATTTGTGAAGCAAGAAAACAGCATTAAAGAGAAGTGATATGAAAAAATAAAAAAAGAAAGACAAGTGATATGGAAACTCACAGGCATTTTTAAAAGGGTATTTATATTGAAGATCTAATTAGATTCTTTTTTAACAATACAAAATCCTAAGAAGCACTCATAGTGGAAGGCTTCATTGTTACTTTGTTACTAAGCCTCCTCTTCAGCCACCAAGGTAAGTAGGCTCTCAGGCTTGTTCAAAGGTAACCAGTTACTAAAAAATGTACCACAGTAACAGGCGGGACTCGAGTCCTAGTCACTTCCCAGAATCTAAGAGCTACGGGGCCACAAAGAGACACTTCCACCATTGGCCACGATGCAAGAAGCAGCAGAGGACAGAGGAGGGAATGCAAGGAGCTCTTGTCTTCCACTTTAGGGCTTCCGACCCTCACCCCCTGCCCAACACGGCTTCCCAAAAGAAAGGCTACAAGTTACACGTTACCTAACAGGAATCCGGGAAACAGACTCTCGCATCCGACGCATTGTCAAAGATGGTAGTGCTGGGACCCCACTGTCACCAATAGTGGAATTTGGAAACAACCTAAAGAAATCAGGGAAAGACTGGTTTACAGATGTGCAGGGACCTCAAAGAGGCTCAGCCACCCTGCCCACTCCCAGCTATGAACAGTGCTTTCCCCAGGCACATTTCCTCCACCACTCTGGCACCTGGAGGAAGAGGACTGCCCACCCCAGTGGCAGGGTCCAGCTGATAGCAGATGTGAGCAACAGGGCCTGCCAAGGAACACACAGGCCCCTGTGGGCATCTCTAGGACAGGCTGGTGCTACGTCCAGCTATAACAAAAGAATGCATTTTAAAGCTACAGCAGAGCATTTTACAAACTATGGAACAGAGAGCTTTTCTGGAAACACACAGGGAAGTTTAAGCATGAAGAAAAAACAGACTTAACACCTAATGCCCTAAACAAAAGGAAAAGTGAGGTGACATTATCTGGGCAGCATCCTTCCATGGAGGGGCACTCGGTGCTGTCACATGCTATCTCAGAATACTGCAAGGAAGGCTAATACCCCTATTTTCAGGGGGTGTGAATTAAGGCTCAGGTATGTCATAGGTAACGACAAAACTGGCATGGTGATGCAGCCGCTGGACTCTAAGTGTGTGCCCTCTGTGCTACTCAAGCTCAGTCAACACCAACTACCATGAAAGCAAAAAGGATGTTCCCAGTGTAGACTAAGGAAATGCTCCCTTGGCTTCTCTGGTACTCTCAGTAAAGGAGAAACTTTTACTTTTCACAGTAAGTTTTTAAAAGGCATTCTGAAACGTGTGCTTTTACTGTAAACTTTCAATTTTCAATTATTTAATAAACTATTTTGTCTGTATGAGATACAATTTGGTAACTAGTATGTCCCCTGATAAAAGTATGAATCTTTCAAAACTTTATATTAAAACCTGTTTAAGCCCAAATAACGTCTTCTTCAGTTTGAGATGAAGAAAACAGCACCAACTTTGGTGTGGGGGGTGGTGTGTGTGTGTGTGTGTGTGTGTATACACTACAGACTGAAAAACCCAAGACACCTTCCCACTGAACTATATCCTTGGCCCTTTTTAAAGTTACTTGAAACAGGGTCTTGCTAAGTCACTCAGTTGTCTAGGGTACGCTCCAACACATCACCCTCCTGCCTCAGCCTCCCAGAATGCTGGGATTACAGGTGTGGGCCACAATGCCCAGCCAGCTGTGCTTTCTACTCCTGAATATCAATAAGGCCCATTCGGCATATTTAACAAAACACAGAACAGAGTCTATTATCTATCTAGTAGATGTACTAGCAGGAGAAAGGGTGAAAAACCTTTCAGCTTTCACATCCTTTTGCTCATCCCTGCCCACATCACAGTATGCCACCATCCACTGGATGGATGATGGGTTACAATGCCACACTAAAATAGCTAGTTTCAAAACTACCATGCTTCTAATGTAGGTGGTTTCCAGATCACAAAGGCATCTACACACCCCACCCTTCCATTTGGGGGCCGACGGTGTCTTACAAGAGCTGTCTGATGTTACTCCAGTCCACACACATGGTAGGGACTTTGGTGCTGCAGTGCTCATGAAATTTGTAGCCACAAGTCTGACACCGAAACCCATTTAGCAGAAACTTCTGACAGATGTCACAGAAGGCAAGCTTCAGGAACGTCTTCCGAGCCTGTAATAAGACACAGGGCTAAACTGTGCTGAGTAAAGGAAAGATGACTCAAGATAGTTCATTTCCTCCCAGGTCTCCAAGAGTTTATACAAATGAAGAGTCATGTTTCCAAAATCTGCACAATTCATAACCAGAAATTAAAGTATATCTCTAACGGGATGTAGACAACAGCACAACCAGAGCTGTAAATAATCCAACAATGTACGTGCTTATTACCTCACCTCTCAGAAGTTCCTATCATGCAAACCAAGGCACTCAATACACTATGAAACAAAAACAGATCTGCAACTTACAAAGTTGTGTGTGGTGAAGGGAACATGATCCAGGAAATCTACTTGAAGTTCTTCTCCAATCAAAGAGGCAGCATCAGTATTCCAATCTAAACGTGCTTTTTTACTAAAGAGGGTTTTAAAAAACATAACATGAAAGGGAAATGTTGAAGCAAGTTGAAAGTCCAATGTGAGTAACACAGCTACCTTTTATTGTGTGCTATCTAAATACAACTTATGTCCAAATAGCTATATAATCCATACAGCAAACCTGTAAAGTAGGTATTATCACTCATCTCACAAAGGAAAAATCTGGGGCTCCCAGAAAACAGCCTACATTGGAATCCATGTCTGTTGGACTTCAAAGCTTGTGCTCTTAGAATAAAGTTTTCTTTAAACATAAAAAGCAACAATCTCATATTAAGGTAAATACACATTAAAGAAGACTTTGTGACATTAAAAATCCCATAAAAATCCTGAAATCCTGCAAAGGGGATTATAAAAATTACTAAAGTGCCAAAATAGAAAAGAACCGCAAGTATACTTTGCCATTAACAGTAAACTCAGATGAGTAGTTGTTCACAGGACCTATAAAAACAAGTATAAGTCAAAGGGAAATTTAACTGTCTTAAAATTTACTGAGACCACTCTTGCTGCACCCAGGCTAAATGAGACAGAAAAATGTATCCCCTAGTTCCCTTCTCCTGTCTTGTCTCCTTCCTGCCCGTTTCCTGAAGGCTGGCTGTGTTCAGGTAAGGAGAGAATAATGCAGATCTAATACCTCCAAGCCTCTCCCATCACCTACTGGACAACCTACTCAAGTCATTTTTCCTGTTACCCCCAATAAGTAACCCACCCTTAATATAATTCCCTGTACAATGTCTGGGACACTTCATGACACTCTCAAGTCCTGTTCTGTCCTAATGAAGAGAAGGAGGGGAGACATCACTTTTTGATCAAGCTCCAGACACTATCTGTCCTAGACAGAATCCAAGCCACCTCCAAATCAACAAAGCTTTGGAGAAGAGCGAACAAGGCCTTCACTGTCTCAGAACCTCTCTGGTTCTTAAGGAACACTGTGGGCTGGCTTGGGAAGAATGGACAGTTAAGCTCACCCTCTGAGCAGATTCATGCCATGGGCTATTCTCTTAGTCTGGGGGATCTCTCGAAACCATAAAGACAGAAGCTGAAGATAAGTGATAGAGGTGTTGCTTTCCACAAGAGAGCAAAGTTGAAAGAACTTTCTGTAAAGGTCTCCCCAACTGGGAGAAGCATACTGGATAACTGCTATGGGGGGATTACTCCTACCTCAGAGCCGCTATCCTGCAACTACTATCAGAAATCAGCTGAGTCTTCCTCCAAGCAGAAATTCTCCTGCATCTATCTTTTAGCCCCATAGCTGTCAAACAGAAAGGATTCAATACACATGAAAATGAATAAAAATGAGTGAGAGGGGCTAGAGATGGAGCTCAGGGGTGGACCATGTGCTTAGCATGTATTAGGCCCTGGGTTCAACCTCCAGTAGCCCCAACAAAAAAGCACCAGTGAATCGCATGAGCTCATCTCCTAAGAGTAGCATGCTTTACCTATGAACAGCAATCACCCACTCCATGTAATGCCTTAGAGCAAACGAAAAAAAAATTTTTGTTATCAAGAAATCTATATTCTAACATTCCTATTTCCATCCATGAAAATATCATCAACGATTCACCATGTATTTTATTTTTCAAGGGAATTTCCAAGGATACAGTAACTACAAGTTCTTAGTACCCTATTTTTGAATTCTCTTTATAAACAAAAGTATATGAATACATGATATTCTATGGCAGTGGTGGTGAACCTACGGCATATGGGTTATTGTGGGGGTTTTTTGTGTTTTTCTTTTAAGACAAAAGATGTTAGAGTTTTTTATGAACTAAAACCTCAGTATTCAGGTTTAATTGCAGTGCTGGCACTTTGCAATACATATGTGGGTTTTGGGTTGCACTTTGGTACTCAAGTCTCTAAAAGGTTCACCATCACTGTTCTGTGGGAAGCTAGCACAATTATTTGAATGGAATCATCATCCTGAATAATGAGCTCTTACCCTTTGTGTTCATGGAGAAGTCTGAACACTGCACAGCATTCCGGCTGCAGGCCCCTCACTTTGAGCGCTTTCATAAGGCAGTCGTGCAAGCTCATCCCATTCCGCACATTGACCTACAAACAAAGGCCACCTTCAGGACCCACACAGGCCGCAGCACCAGTTGGAAGGAGCACAGGAATAAACACACCAGCCTGTGAGGTGTGCATAGATTTATGACAGCATTGCTTGTAAATGGTACACACACATGTGTATATGCACACAGGAACAACCTGAATGTCCAGCAATAGGTGCGAGCTTGAATGAAATATGAACAGCCATGGGCCGGGGATTTAGCTCAGTGGCACTGTGCCTATCTGGCAAGTGTAAGGTCTTGAGTTTGATTCCCAGTACCAAAAAAAAAGAAAAGAAATATGAACAGCCATATGGTGGCCCACTGTGCAGCTTACTAGGGTTTAACTAGAGGGAGAGGAGTAGTCCATGAAATATTCATTGGGGCAAAATATTTTTCAAAATAATACAAAGAATAAGATTATTAATGAGGAGTGTAGAAAGATGTGCCCCTAGGTGTTAACATCTGAGAATACAGCTGGAAAGGGACAGTGAGATTCTCTGAATTTACCTCTAATTTGCTCAACTTGCCAATGTGTGTGCAAGATGACATTACAGGAAGAAGGGAGACACGCCAGTATGATCCGTAATAAACATGACACAAGTTCTATGATTTTAAAATACCTATTTTCAACAGGCTGGCTGGTATTGTTAATGGCAGCCATATGGAATTTTCAACTAAAATCTTTCAAAGTTTACAGATAGAAGCTCTCTACATTTTGTTTTCAAAGCTAAGAAAGTTAATTTTAAATGAGGCACCTAGAGTGAGCAGAATTAAATGTGCAGTGCTGAGCCCACAGTGTAGTTCCTCCTCCCCCTCAAAGCAGCTGCAGCTACCAGAAGTCATGCCAGCTCCTGCAGCCCCTCCCTGGCTAGCTTAGGACAGAGACAGATGCACAAAGAACAGCACAGAGGTGCTGGGCCTGCCCAGTTACCAGGCTCCAGTAAGGGCCACCACGTCAGGATGCAAAGTAGCAACAATGAAACTAGGATGGACCTGAAGAAAAGTGCCTGAAGTAATAGAAAGCCCCATCAAGGACCAATATAAGGAGGTTTCACAGGGCCGTATTTTGCTACTTATCTGCCTGGTAATCAATATCTGAAGCATAGAGATGGGCTCTGCAATAAGAGCACAGTACAGGAAAATCTAACCTTGTAGAAGATAATTTATACTCAGAGCATGATGGGAGTCAAGAGAAGAACATTCTCCTGAAGGATCAAATCTGGAATAAAAGGAAAGATTTCTTCCAAACTACCAAAGCTCCTCTGGAGGTTAGGACAGTTTCCTTGCTCTGGATGGTGTGCTCTTTCCCTCAGCTATGTGGGAGAGGAAAAGCTGCAAACAACAGGGTAATGGAGACCACCTGACTCTTCAAGTAGATATCACAGGAACCCTTTAAGGAACTTGGGGTTTATTGAGAGGACCAATATAAATACATTACCTATTTTTTTTAAATTCTTTTTTTAAAATAACATTCTTTAAAGGTTTCTTGTACATATCAAAATAATTCAGACAAGTGTCAAAATAATTACAAAGGAGAGTGTAGAGAGATTAAACAAGTGCCACCATTAACTAAGTGCAAATTGGATGATGGGTAGAATATCACTATTCTAATCTATCCTTGTATTTTTAAATGAAAGTTTCTTGAAGCAGTGATAGCCTCAGAAAAATTCCATTAACTTCCATCAAAACAAGAGAGAAACAGCCGGGCATGGTAGCGTACTCCTATAATCCCAGTGCTTGGAAGGCTGCAGCAGGAGGAGGATCACTGTGAGTTCAAGGCCAGCCTGAACTACATAGTGAGACCCTGCCTCAAAAGCACCAAAGGAAAAAAAAGTGAGAAACACTGATCTGAAGCATGAAGGCAAGACACAGAGAGCAAGGAGAACGGCAAGAACACACTGGGCAGCAGCGCTCTCCACAAGGAGACCCATGTGTATGTCAGTCTCTGCCTCACAAGTGCCAGGCACCAGTGCTCTAGTCCAGGAGGGCACCCCCTTGTGCTGGTGGAAGGGTCCACAAGGAACCTGTGAAAATATAGGCTCTCAGCTTCCCCGCCCAGCATGTCCAAGAGCCCAGACTTAAGTTATTTTAGAATGAAGCCCAAGAATCTGCATTTAACTTGCTGGTCAAGTGACTAAAAATGCAGTTCTACTCATTCACTAGAAGCAGCAGCAGCAGGTCAAAGAGGCAGATATGTTTAAAAACATTATAAAAGTGAATTATTACTTCTAACATTATTAAAATCACACATCCATCCTCTCCTTCTCTTTACTACATGCCCCCCCCCAATGAATTCCTCAAATAGTTTCTGAGTAGAAGAAGCCTCCTAGGATAGATGGCCGAGGGTGCCTGTAGGTGGCTTCTCCACCCTCTGAAGCTGGCTCTCCCACAGGTGGCCTGACAGAGGAGAGACCACCCTTCTCTGTCAGAGCCTTGGCATGAGCTTCAGAAGCAAAGCCTCTCCATCAAGAGGTTGGTTCCCAACCTGAAAGTCATCAAGAGCTGTATCAGTGACCAAAAAAGCTACAAAATAATCAGAGCTGCCAATGCACTAAGTCTGAGCCGCATTTCACAAATGTCAGGACACAGAGGCTCGAAATACTGTGTAACTTGTTAGATAACTCAGATGAGAAAAGGCAAGGAGGCATCTCAAATGTGGGCCGGGCTTTATGGGTCCACACACCTAAACTGGCTGGTTATGGGGAAGACAGTAAAAGCCAGGAGAAGTGCCAGATGGTCTTCAGACTTCGATGACATACACAATTCTTATCTGACCTCTCAAAAGGTCAGAAAGAAAATTAATAGAAAACAGCAGGTACGGTGGGCATGGTAGTGCGTGCCTGTCATCCTAGCACTTGGGAGGATCACTGTGAATTCAAGGCCAGTTTGAACTACAAAGCAAGACCCCGTCTCAAAAAACAAAACAAAAATCAAATAAATGAATTAAACAAACTTTTCAAATAAGTCTTAGAAATGTCCCCTATTTGAATGTGTTGACAGAGAAGCCACTCCAAGCAAGAGAAACAGAAGGAAGGTCACCAGGTAGGGAAAAGTAGGGAATTTGGAAGGAATGATAGTATAATGGGATAGAAAAATCAATTTCTAAAGCCCCTAAGTGATGAGATTCTGTCTGCCCACAGTTGGGCAATGAGGTCCACACTGTTTTCTACAGGCAGACGAAAGCTGGGTTTCCTAGAAGAAACATGCACATACCACCGTTCTCTGCTTGTTCGGCAAGAAGACTCGGATGGTGCTGCTTGTCTTCGAGGAGTCTGTGAGTTTGCCATCATCTGAGGCCCGGCGCTGATAGCCAAACTGCTGCATGATCGTCGGGGAGATGCAGTTGGAGCCGTCAAACACAGCGTCCTTGAGTCCAAAACCGTTGCTAATCGTCTTCCAAGCACCCTGTATGTGCTCCATGGATGCAGCTTAAGTAGTAATGAAACCTGGTAGAAAGAAAAATAATTATAATCCTAAAACAAAAGCACTTAACCAAAGAACATGATATAAAGAGAGGGTATGAAAATAGTGGTGAGTTTTTATAATATATAAACAAATTAAAAAAGAACTTCTACAATAGTGAATTTCCAAAAAATATTTCATGCAAAAGCCAAGAATGAGGAAAATGGGGACCAGAAGTCAAAAAACATTGTTTTTTCATTTGTTTATTTTTGAGACAGGGTCTCGCTAAGTAGTACAGGCTGGCCTTGAACTCACATCGATCATTTTGCCTCAACCTCCTGACTGCTGGGATTAAAGGCCTACAACCACCATGCCTGGCTAAAGGACTTATTAAGGAAAGAAAATATATTTCAAAGATATGTGTTAGATACCCTACATATTAACTACCTCACTTAATTTTTATAAAAACACCACAGATTTTTTTAATCCCCTCTTCTCCACATCCTTACTGGGGACTGAATCCATGACCTGCACACTGAGCTATATCCCCAGGGGATATAGCTTTTTTTTTTTTTTGTACCAGGGATTGAATTCTGGTCCTTGCTCTTGCAGTGCAGGCAGCAGAACCGAGCTACAAGCCCCTCCTTTTTTAAAATTTTGTATTTTGAGACAGGGTCTGCTTAAATCTCTAAGCTCCCCAGACTGGTCTCAAATTTGATATCTTCCTATCTCAGCTTCCCAGAATGCTAGGATTACAGGTTTGTGCTGCCACACCTGCTTTTTTTTTTTTTTTTGGGGTACCGGGGATTGAACTCCGGTCCTTGCACTTGCACAACAGTCAGTAAAACCACTGAGCTAAATCCCCGGCCCACCTGGCTTTTTTCTTTAAACCATGTTACTTGAGAAAACGCAGGAACAGGTAACATGACCAGATTCCATATCTGCTTAAAGTCTATTAATTTGCCACTATCAGTTCTGGTACAGAAGCAAATATTATTTATAATCAGAAGAAAGGAGAAAGAGCCACCTAACTCCAGATAACCCAGTGTTTTACTGAGGCACTAAGATAACTGCTGTGGGTCCACAGCTGCTCACACAATGACACCAAGTCAGTCAGATGTTCTGTCTCAGATATGAGGACCAGCAAGCCCCTCATACTGGCTTACAAGTTAGCAGAAGCAAATGGCTGGTTCCCTCCTGAAAACTGTGAGGTTGGGCCAGGGATTTAGCTCAGTGGTTCCGCCACCTGCCTCGAAAGCACAAAGTCTGGAGTTCTATCTCCGGTACCAAAAAAACGAAGAAAGGAAGAAGGGAGGGAGGGAGGAAGGGAGGGAGGGAGGGGGAGAGGGAGAAGGAACGGGTGGAAAGAAAGAAAACTGAGGTTAACAGTCTCCTCAAGCCTCCTTCAGAAACTTTGGGGTTTTTTTGGTGCAGGGATCGAACTCAGGACCTTGTCCTTGAGAAGCAGGCAGTGGCACCACTGAGCCAAATCCCTGGCCCTCTCCTTCAGAAACTTATTTAGTCTTATTAACAATGGCCACCTCTGACTAGGATCTGCTGGTCTGCAGCAGTGCACACAGCACACGTTCCTTCCCATTATGCACCATAACCCTCACAGGGATGCTCCAGGTAGGAACTGCATCTCCACTGAAGCTGAGGAAATTCACACACCCCACTTCTGAGTAGCAGAGCAGGGGCTCAGAACTGGGCCACTCTACCCAGAGGCCTTGCTTCTTACATTTAGCAGTGACACAGGAGTCGTTTGGTCAGAGCCGAGGCAACAAAACTACAGGCTACAAACCTCATTTTCACCCACAAGTTCCTGTTTGAATACCCACTATGTGGTAAACTCTCGAATCAGGACAGGTTGGGTATTAACAGCCTCCTGCAGAGCTGTAGGTTCCACACTTGTGATTCAAACAACCACAGGTCAAGAATATTTTTAAGTGCTTCAGTACTGAACACATACCACTTTTTTGTTCTTCCTATTCTCAAAACAATACAGTGTAACAACCACCTGCATGGCACCTACACAGTACTTATTATGAGTGATCACAGTATATGCAGGTTCTGTGCAAGCACAAATGCCACTTTCTAAGAGAGATTTGACCAGATGCAGATTTTGGTACAGGGAGATAAGAAGGCCGTCCTGGCACCAGTCCCCAGAAGATAACAAGGGACACCTGAATCTGTAACCAAGCAAGAAACTAAAAGTCCAGAGACCTATGATGACAACATGGTGTTCCTCTCAGCTTTCTGGGGAATACAGTAATAATTGCTAACATTTTGAAATGTTCCTAAAGATTGACTTCTTCACAATTCTATTCTAGGAATTTATCCTACAGAAACATAAGACAAGGCTATAAAGATACAAATATGGTAAACATATTCATCGAAGCATGGTTCACACTGAGGAAAAGAATAAATGCCCAATAGTAGGGAAATAAATAAATCATAGTAACAAACATATGATAAGCAGAAATAAATCCACATGTGGAGAGATGGAAAGACACCCAAGAGAAAAACAAAGCAGTCAAAACTTTTCTTCTTTACACTAACCCAAAAAAGGGAGGGAAATCTAGACTCATAAGGGAGTTAGAAAATCTAGAATTCTAAACAAAATGTTAACAGTGGTTATTTTCAGTGGAACTGTGAGGAGTTGATATACGTATTTACAGAGTCTACTTAACATTTCTCTTTTATAATTTACTGTTACAATCCAATCTTCTTTAGCTTATGTTATTTCTGTAAGGGAGAAATTAACAAGACAAAATCCCAAGCTGTCTCCTGCCTCTGCCACCTATGGTGCTCTCTGACTCTCTCCTAACTCTCCCAGGGAACCATTAGGTCACTTTTTATGGGTACCTACAGCACCTTTCTTCCCTAGACTTTTTTTCCTCATGAGGAAGAAGAGATACAGGAGTTCTGGACAAGAGGACTGAAACAGATGATAGAGGGAGATAAGATTTATCTGCACATCTCACCAGCCTGACAGAATGGGGCTCCTGGTGAACTGCATGGCCACCAGAGCAATCTCTCGATGTTGCTCCCTAACTGCTTTAATGAGTCTGCCAAGACCTTTCAGAAGATGCCAGTCTTCACAGTGCAGGATTTCTCAACTTCTCGTTCCCTTTACCTGAAAAGCTACAACTTCCAAAAACAAGTAAGGTGAACTGGACAAGGTGGCACAATCCCAGCACTCTGGGAGGCTGAGGCAGGAGAACCACATGTTCAAGCCCAGCCTGGGCGACTTAAATGGGAGATCTGTCTCAAGGTTAAATTAAAAACGGGCCAGGGATTTAGTTCAGTGGTGCTGCCGCCTGCCTTGCAAGCACAAGGTCCTGAGTTTGATCCCGGTACCGAAAAACAAAACAAAACATTAAATTAAAATTCAGTGTGAAGGTTCAATCAAAGGGAAGGGGAGAAGGGGAGGAGGAGGAGGGAGAAGAAGAGTTATGGTGGCCTTTTCAAATTCTATTTCCACCCAAGAAACATCTCTTAAGAGAAAATTTCCCTAACCACCTGAGCCAAAACAGCCTGCTCCTCTTCTCCCATCAAATAATCCTGTTTCACTTTCTGCATGACATTTACTACGTTAGAGTCATCACAAATTTTGAACAATTGCATTTACAAATTTTGGGTAGTCCTCCACCCTCCTTCCACTCTGTAAAGGGAAGGTTCTACTAATATTATTCACTGCTGTGTTCTTCGTACTTAATACAGTACCTGGAACACAAAGGCATTCAACTATTTATTAAACAAATTAAGCCAGAAACCAAAATACTATAAAAAAGAATTAAAAATATGAATTAAATCTCTATAGGTAGTGCTTCTTTAAAAAATACAGTGGACCCCTGGCTTACAAACTGAATTCATTCATGAGGGCTGGTTGTAATTCAAGCTGGTCAACTGAAGGCTCAGGCTCCTCTACACAGCCTTCAAACTCTCTTCCGGTATACAGGCAGATCTCAGGGTCCTTAGAGAGACACTGACCCAGGATTTCTCAACTAACCCATGCAGGAAAGGGTGTTCTCAAGTTCCTTCCAGAGCTCTTTAAGGGTTAAATCTGTATCTGAGACCATGTGGAAGCACAAGAAGCCAGGATTCTGGTTGTAACTCAAGACTTTTAAGTTAAAACTAAAATTCCAGTCATAACCCAAATTGTTCATATGTCAGGCAAGTTGTAACTCAAGGGTCCACTGTATTACAAAAACATACTACAGTAAATTTCATTTTACAGCCAGGATTTAGCTCAGTGGTTCCGGCACCTGCCGAACAAGCGCAAGGTCCTGAGTTCGATGCCCGGTACTAAAAAAAAAAAAAAAAATTTCATTTTACATTTAGCTGCAGGAGAACACTGTATTGGAATCTATTGGTAAGGAGAAAAACATGGTGAGAATTTTTGCAATTTGGGAAGATGTATGTATGTATGTATGTATTTATTTTTCTACTGGGGATTGACCTTAGGTCCTTGCGCTTTCGAGGCAGGCGGTGGAACCACTGAGCTAAATCCCCAGCCCCAGAAGAAGCTTTTAAAAGTGAAGAGCCCATTTCACTCCAAACAAGAACCTAAAATCTGAGTTTGTACAAGTAGTGCTGGTAAATATCTCCTTCCACCTTTACATGGACGATTCCAGCTATAAAAGCTTAAAGGCAACTGGGTATGATGGTGCAATCCTATAATCCCAGCTACTCAGGATTCTGAGGCAAGAGGACTCCAAATTCAAGGCCAGCCTGGGCAACTCAAAATTAATGTTCGAGGCCCCGAATTCAATCCTCAATACTGTTTTATAAAAAAGAAAAAAGTAGCTTAAAGGTTAAAATTGAAAGTAAGCTAGTGATTCTTCAACAACAAAACCTACGGGTAAAGAATCCACTGACAAGATTTAAATGTAACCCACACCTAAAAACGTAGTAATTTTATGGCAAATTCTAAGTCTTGTAGGTACTCAGAAAATTCAGTGCTGGTATTTAGTAGAGAACATAATACATTAACTTTTGGCAAAAAGTGACAAGATCAAAATACATTTCAATTTGAGTTTTA